TACATAGCCGACTAGCTATATACACATGTGTGTACATAGTCACTTCCTTTATTATTAGGTTGTATTGACTCCAATTTACTCAGAAACCTAAAAAGTCAAATTGATCTCGATCGTATCGAATGTTTCTGGAATGAAACATAATTAAGAATTGATATTCGTCTATTGTGGTAAATAGTTAAAATAATTTAAATTTTCTAATTATAATGTATGATTGTAGAAATAAATTTGAACAAACAAAAATATGTATTTACATAGTTTGTTTATGGTTCATTAATATCTAATCAAATGTTGAAATAACAAAAAAAGATTGATATATACGATCATGAAATGGTTGAACATCATTCATAATTGATGGAAGATTAATTGATGAACCTTTCCCATTGGAATAATTAACACTTGGTACACTATCATGATGAAGATCTTCTAATATCTTTTCTAAAACAATTTCCAAAGCTTTTATTCGAACTTCATCGTCAACTTAAAACAAAAAAAAAGAAAATAGAAATTTAAATAAATAAAAAAAAATTGTTTTACCAGTAATAGTCATAGCCCTTTCTGGCATATCAGATTTGGGTGTAATTGTAAGTGAAGCATTAGTATCATGTTTTATATTTTCAATAGTTGAAACACCTTTTCCAATAATAACACCAGCTGTTGCATTTGGAATAATTTATTTAATTTGACGTGATCGTATAAGATCACTTGGAAAACTTTCTTTTATTGTATCTGATAAAAATTCATAAACAGATAATACATTTGTAGTTGTTCCAACAACAAGACAAACACGTTCTTCTGTTTCAGGAAAATAATTCTTTTAATTTAATTCAATATTAACTTCATTTTAAATTGAAAAAACTAAAAATTTACTGCTGCTTTAGACATTTTCATTTTCGTATTTGTTTCGTTTTTGTAGTGAAGCAATTCTTTCTCCACCTTTTCCAATAACAGGGTGTGCGTGTGGGTGTTGTTCTTATTTTCAAGCACATCCACATTCACACCCACACCCTCAAGCAAAGCGACAATTAGATTTTTAGTGATCTTATCATTTTAAATATTTTAAATCTTGGCAACGAAACAGCTGTAACAAATTGTGATTTTTCGGAAAGCTATTTTCGTAAACAAATGAAACATCAACGCTCAATGATAGAAAAAGAAATTTCTTCTGTTTATTCTTGAATATTTCATTTTTTTGCATTTGAATAAATATTTTCTAACTTTGCGTTCTCGAAGTCATCGCAACAGAAAATATAGGTTTTCGATGCCTACGTCTAGAAATTAAAATGAACGACAACCTTATTGAGAAATATGGTGACCATATTTCAGTAGAAGTCTAATAAATATATATCGATATGTCTTATTGACGATTTTCCTTGAAAATTCAATCAGCATATAGAAAAATATCTAATGAGCAAAGATCAAGTTTGAACAAAACAAGTGCATCTTCATTATCATTTTATCGTGTATAAAATGAAGTATCAATGAAAATTCATTGAAATCCAATGTTTTTAACAGAGAACGCCACAGGATGCATATCCTCAAGAATCTGCAATACTCTGCAGTGCACGATGCAAAACATGTTGGATACTATTTGAGCCCTGTAGGATACCCATGTCACCTAATTGATCGTGATTCAATGAAGCTCTGATCTAGTAATAAAATTCTTGGTGATTTTCGATTAGTCTCAATATAATTAAGAAGAGTAGCTGCGATACTAGCAAATAGGACTTAGGTAAAAAGAATATTTAGCTCCACTGAATTGATATTTACACTAAGACGTACGTATTTATTAAGAAGTGAAACTGATCAGATATTTTTTATTCACTCATAGAATAAATTGAAGAAAAATCAATAAAAAGATAATTTATGTGTTCTCTTTATTCATCTGTGGCATATTGATAACATGTTGAATCCTATATATTTATTTGTTTTATTAGTGTTTTGTTCGCAGTATGTATGTCAATTATTTTTTTATTATTCTTTTCACTTGTGTTGTAAAGCATGCCATAAGGATTAATTGAATGTCTATATTGTCAATGATTTTTATCCAAATAGTACGTCTATAATATTTAATATCATTCCTAATACACAAGCAACTTGTTTTCCTTGTCAGAAATATAATGAAAAGATTGACATTCATTTCGAATGCAAGAGAGTGTCTGTTTTGTCTCCTACAGAACTCAATCACTGAGGGATAATGTCATCATAATATAGGGCACGACGAAGAAAACGATCTTTTGACATTTTCCGGTTTCTAAACGTTGTAGATAACTTGCTTCTTTTCCTAGAATAATCAAGTATCAGTATTGTTGGATTCTTGAACTGATTAATAATGAAATCATTGAAATAAATAAATATTTTCAATTCATTAAAACTTGTTTCAAATCGGAATTTTTGTATATGAAGATTTCAATTTAATTGATAGATTCAATTAAGAGATTTTCAAATATAAAACTGTAAAAATCAAAATCAGAGATCAATAGAATGGATCATTATCTCGATGTAATCCTGAAACTATTCATAATCTTTTAGACATAATCAACTCGAACTCAACTAAAATTTAAGATTATTATTAGAAAATGTTTTTTTTTCTATATGCTTGTTTATCCTTCGTAAATATTGAATATTTTAATGCACATATTTCATCGTATAGAAAATACTTCTTGAACAAAATCACTTTATAAACATATATATCATTTTTCAATCTGCAAAGTAATTTTTGACATGAAAATTTTCCTATATCGTTTCAAATAATGCTTTAATCCTTTACATTTGTCCGTTCCTATGAATAATAATGTCCAAATTCAACAGTTCTCTACCGAACTTGATCATTGAGTAAACATACAAATTACAAAGATTTATTTATTGTTAATAGATCATCAATATTCAGTTTGATATTTTCTATTTTATTTGTTTAATTGAACATTGAATGAGATAAAGTTTTTCAAAAATACTTTTTTTAAATTCTCTTTTTAATGATAATCTTATTTCTCTTTAAAAAAAAATCGATTTTCTGGTTTGCATACAGAATCATGCTAATTTAATTGGTTGTTGATAAACTTTCATATATAAATAAATAAAGGCGAATTTTACAATGTTTTTATATTTTTCATCAGAGATAGATTTCGATTATGTTACATCAATCAAAATCATTCTCTCTTTCTATTTACTAAGGCAACTAAAAATATTTGACGATGTTTTTTTTTTATTTGAAAACGGTATCATTCAGTGGAATATATTCGTCTATAAATATAATTCTTAATTTATATTCTGAAGGGTATCCATCATCGTAAGATTAACATACAATCAAAACAATAAAAGAAACGTTGAGAGTGGAAAGGGATTGGCGCAATAGCAACTATTTTTGTTTCTTGATAATTGGCATCATGTTCGAGCCTTTCCTCCCTCAACCCTATGTTTATATAACTCTGTGCTGTTCTGTTCTGCACGTCTCAAGCTACTCGTTCGTCGATGATCTATGCATTTTGCTCCCATAACAAAGTGATTCGACTCGGCAAACCATTGCTCATGACTCATGTTATCTTTGCTCATAGTTTTATATGCTTTCTGTTTGCGCTTTTCATTCTTTATAAGTTACTTGTAATCAGCACTATGTCCCTTTAGGCCCTATCATGGTTAGAAAGTGAAATAAATCGCAAACAAGCAATAAAAGAAACGTTGATTACCGAGACTGATTCATGATTATGATAATGAAATATAAACATTCGTTTCTTATTTTATATAATATTATTTTCACAAACTATAAACACGAAAATATCCTTGTTTATTTAAATGAAATTTTGTTTTCTTCTAAGAAAAACTGATAAGAGTTATTTTATTTTAATAATCATTAGACAACAAAAAAATGATAATGAACCGTATAAATTGATAAAATTCAATGAGTATAAATATCAAATGTTCGTTTTATGAGAATATAATTAATATATTTATTTAATGAAATGAGGAGAGATATTATTATTAATCGAATTAAAATCAATATGAAAAATATTTAAATTGTCGTTGATATCATTTTAAGAAATTCTTTGTTTAGACAAAGTAATGTAAACTAATTATAGGAGGAATTACGAATAGAAATCAACAACAAGTGACATAAATAGCTTTTGCCATTTCAGAGAAACGCCTCTCATTCCTCATTAACATATTATTTCTTATAAATAGTTGCTAGACTATCAACAAATTCTTATTATTAACAAATACAATGTTTTCTTCAATTCAACGTAGTTTTCTATTATATAACTATTTGTATTTTGTTTAGATCTACTTTTTTTGTTTAGATTCATCACCAACTTGTAAAATCATTGAAATTCCCCCAGATTTAATAGAAAATGGAAAAACATTATTAATTGAAGCACATTATGAATTATTTATAAATGGTTCTCATTTATCACGGCCATCACATTTTATTACAAAAAGTCATGGATTATGTCTTGTTGATACACAACAAAAAGATTTTAGATCAGATGCATATTATTATCAATTAAATTCACAGAATGATGATTATCGTAAGTTTACATTTTGATTTTTGTTGTCTTTTTTGATTATCTATCATATTAAATGATACATTTTCACTAACAAATATTCAATTAAATACAAACATAGCAATTGAGAAATAACACTAGATAAACAAAGACACAGATCATATGAATATATATATATATACAGGGTTGAAAATAATATTTTGCCAGGGAAGTACCGCTATAATTTCAAATAGAGTAATTAATGAATTTTATACCAAACGAAAGCGCGTCAAAAATGGAGTTCATTGGTACTAAACAGTAAGAGTCATCAAAACTTTTTAATGTCGAACTTC